AGTAAGAATAAAAAATAATAAAATAGTAAAAATAGTAATAATGAAAATGAGTAAAATAGTAAAAGATAGCAAAATAGTAAGAATAGTAATAATAAAAAATAGCAATAAAAAAGTAGTAAAATAGTAAAGTAAGAAAAATAGTAATAATAAAAAATAGTAAAATAATAAAAACAAGCAATAATAAAATATAATAAACAATTTACAAATAATGTTATAATGCAAATTTACAAACGAATTCCATGTATTCAAATGCCACACAATAAAATTCAGATTTGGGTTAGAATGGATTCAAAATCAGTCATTCGTAATCATAATCTGTCTATTGCACTTTCTGTTTCCTGATAAGTGTATCAGAGTATGCTATTAAAGGTATATATTCAAACAAATCTTCATATTTTTAAAATTTAGTTCTACAGAAAAATCGACATATTTAATTAAAGTAAATAATCAAAATAGGTAAACAAAAATATGATAATTATTTTGATTATATAGAATGCTATAATCGTGTCGTAATTTGAAAACATATTTATTCCAATTATAGTTTTATAATTAATTATAACAATTATAAGTTAGTACATTATTATTAATTGTAATAAATTATAGTTAAAACATCATCGTGTATTACTCATAGAGAAATTAAATAAGTATTGTTTATTTATAAACATAAATTGATACAATAAAAATTACAGTTCTATTCATGCCATTAAATGATGTTTGCAATTATAGGTTAAGAAATGTAATGCGAGTCATTAATAAGGTTAGCTGATTAGAATAACTAAACTAGCTCCATCTACACAGACTATACAAGAAGGCTAGCACACAGCAGTTACACGGTAATTATTTGACATTCAAATTTGATATTCAGATAGTTGTAATAGTTGTAATATTTTAATCATCTTACTTCAGTGTTTTATTATATATAGTAATATTATAAGAAATTATAAGTTCGTAAACACATGTAACAAACATTAATAATTATTCATATTTGGAATATTTACATTAGTTGGTACAAATCTTATAAGTACTTGCTTCAGATGTACATGAATTTAACTTTTTATGTAAAAATAATACTTCATTTACAAATTTTTTTAATAACAGTATGCAAATCTATTCCCAATATTTCAATAATTTCATTTTGCATTTAACGAATTTTACAACAACTTAAGTATACTGGTCCGCAAAAGTGAGATAAGCCTTTAGGAAAATAGTTATATTTAAAAATTTCATTTTTTTTATCTTTAATGCAAATGGACTGACATAATTACAAACGTTTGTTGAAGCATATATTTGTCTCAAAATATTATTCTTTTGTTTTGACAACCATGAGTATGTTATGTGAACACGTATTACTGCTTCAAGTCTAAATACGTATAATGCAAAGTATACTACTTTGTCGCTAGTTTTAAGTTATGTATCACGACTTTCGATTTTATTTTCGATTGAAAATTTCAGAGCCCTATCGTAAACCAGAGGAATTAGGCTACTCGCGCGCCATCTGAACTTAACTGACCACTTGTTACGTATCCATCGTAAACCTTTCATAAATTAGAATTTTAAAACACTGGTAAATCAATTACGATTGCCATTGAAATTATAATTATAATACTTGTAATATTTACATTCAATAAATATCAAAAATTCCTTTTAGTATCGTATTTTATAAATTTAAAAAAGAATTAAAATTTAAATTTTTGTTTCGATATGTTTGAAGTGACAACATTGAAGCAGAAAATTGTAAAAAGTAAATTGCCAAATGAAAATAATTTTAAAATCAGTTATTTAAAATAGTTTTATTTAATTATAAATGGTTTATTTTATCAGTGTCATTATTAATAGCCAGTAATTACTTTATATAAAATGTGAAATTTACTGAAATTTTTTCAGTAAATTCTTATTTTGCAAACTGAAAATATTAAAGGTAGAAAAACGACATTTCTTGGAGAATGAAATGGTTGGATTACTGCATAAGTACTTATTATCAGTAATTTAACTTTCTTGATTGCTTTCCACTTTCAGAATTATTTAAACACCGATTTCTTCCCATTTTTAAAGATATTTCAATATACTTTTTTCATACAAAATAACTATCTATAATTATACACGTCTCAAAATTTTTACAATTCGGTAAAGAGATAAATTTTCAAAAATCTTAAGTGAAATATAATAGGCGATTTAATAGAAATTGAATATCAACCAAATCAGAGTTAGCAAGAACTAGTTTGCGTTGTGATGATCAAATAAGCACAAAGCACTGTAGTTCCTGAAAGAGAAATATCTATAATGGATTAAATATTATCATTATTTATCATTGAATTCGAGTCTAAATATAGTGTACTGTAGATAAAATGACATTGAATTGTATTATAAGAATTAAATAAGAAATATAGCGTTATGATAGTACAAATATATTCCTGAGCGCAAGAAACATTAGATTTATTCCAAAATTATTCTCAATTTTTAATAAAATTAAAAATCTTAATAAAAATCTTGATGAATTTAAAAATTGATACACTCTATAGCTATATTCAAATTATTTGCAAGTTTTTCTAATAAAAATAATATGCAATTGCAATACAAATGAAAAATGAAAATAATAATAAACGATAATTATTTTTATTTTTGTTATTATTTGTTAATAATAACTATCTATTATTTTTATCATTATTTATTATTATTTGTTAATAATAACTATCTATTACTTTTATCACTGTTTATTATTATTTGTTAATAATAATTATTTATTATTTTTATCACTGTTTATTCTTATTTCTTAATAATAACTGTCTACTACTTTCATCACTGTTTATTATTATTTCTTAGTAATAACTATTTATTACTTTTATCATTGTTTATTATTATTTCGTAATAACAACTATCTATTATTATTTATTAGTAACATTAAACAATAACGATAATTATGTAAGAGAATAATAATATATATCTAAATTACGTAAATAATATCTGGTGTCTATATAAGACACAGTTGTCGAATTTAAATCCAATTTAACTTTCGTAAAACGAATTGGACGGAAATGTATAGAACCTGCAAATGACTTTGAGCGAAATATTTAAAAGAAGCATAAAATAATACTTAAACTGGAACTGTTAAAAAATTGATTACAAAGTGTCAAGATTATGTTCCTCAGTCATAAAGAACGATGAAGCACTTTTCTGTTAAGAAATAATTTCATATATTTTATGTATCTGAAAAAATAGGTATGAACCCATTATTATTTCAATTTCATTATCCTCTGATAATGTCTTTTTAATAGCTAGAAATAATCATTCAAATAAGACTACTGCACAAATTAAAAAAGAAAACTTTGCTTTCCTATCTCAACAATTTTTATTATTAATATAAGTATTTTTTCTTGTTTCGTATTGAAAATTTGATTTAACAATTTAACAATTTAAAAATGTCGTATCAAAAATAACTATAATTAAATAACAATAATTAAATATAACTTTACATGCGTTGATATATTGATCAACTTTGTGCATAAGTATTATTTATCAAATATTTAATAATCAAAATTGCATTCTAAAAATGTTACAATACACAAATTATACAATATTAATAACTTTGAAAAATACTACGTTGTTTACATATAAAAGAAGATAACACGAGGTTTCAACTTTATTTCAAAACAAATTATTTCAGAAGTTGTTAAATAAAAATGTACAAAAAAATGATCAAAAAGCCCTTTTTCCATTAAATAACTAAAATATAAAATAACAGTGTTAAATATTTGTCATTTATAGATTTTTACTCCTTTATTTTAATAAATAAAATGTAAAACATAATTTTCAAGTTTCAAGCAACAAATTTCTAAATAAATATCAAAATTGTCAATTTCATTTTGAACAACTCTATCGAAAATAGAGTTAATCAGAGTTACATAAGTCATACATTAACTAATAGAATTTTTTTTCCTCCCTTTTCCTAATATAACTATAACATTCATTTAAATATATCATATTAAAAAATAAATAAATAAATATGTAAGTAAATATACATTAAAATATAAATGCATATACTTATTAATAAAAATAAATAAATATGTAAGTAAATATACATTAAAATATAAATGCATATACTTATTAATAAAAATAAATAAATAAATATATGCATAAATATGACATTCCTAGCCTTTTCTGTGGTAGTAGTTGTCATAGAATGTTTGGTATGAGTGTGAGGAATGTTTGTGTGGAAGAAAGTGTGTGTGACGAGTATGACAGGAAGTCGTGAAAAACAATTAACAGATGAATGACAGTCATTACATATAGATATTGTGTCTGAGAGAGTCCTGAAGAGATTATATCGCAGTTATAATTTATGTTGTGCTGTTATTGTGTTCAACATATTCTTATCAGTTTATCCATTTACCCACAATTTCCTCAGCTCAACACGCAGCAAAACCACAGTAGTAAATAAATCACCTCTCAACAACCAAACAAATCATCCTCTGAAACACGCAAAACAGAAATTGATCAATCGACCATAACTTGACAATTAAAAATTCGAGTGCATTATCCGAAAGAAAAGCCCTGAGATCCGTTCGCGTGAGCAATTTAAAGATCAGAGAGCAGAGGTACTTGACTAGGTCGTGATCGCGTGCGAAACGTGATTGTCTCGTGACGTCGTCGAAACACGTGACTACAGACGCCAGTCATGTTTATTTAATAATCAAAACGAAAACCGAGTGTACTCTCTCATCGTTTCGCCATTATCAACGTCTCACACCTCCCCAACCGCCCCCCAACACGAGTGCAACGCGCGTGTGTCCCTTATCGATCCACACGAACAGTGTCAATAAGGAGCCATCAAATCCATTTACCCACGTTTATGCAGGACATGTCTTGTAACATGTCTAATATTAGCCCCAATCAGAGCCAATAAAGGAGAAAATAGCGCGACACACGGGGTACGCGCTATTATTTATCGTACGTAACGTACACGTGACGCGCGATTCTTCGTCAATATATAAAGGTATCTTGATCTTGAAGAGAACTATATCCCGAGCGGAGATCCTCCAGAGCACGAGTCTTCGTGCAGCGAACGTCGTGCTGCTCGATTCCTCGTCAGCCATCCACTTACCGCTCGTATATCTTCGTCGTCGACGTTGATTACCCATCTCGTGGCTCTTTACCGTGAAGAAGGCTGTAAAAACCGAAAACACTCGTCGTGTCGCCAATCAAGCGCCGTATCTTAAATACAAAGTCGACGGGAAGGAAGTCATAGCCTATCGAGCAGCCAGGCAACAAAGGTCCCCAGGACCTGTCTCACCGCGGGTGCTTTTCACACAGAATCTCCAGCATACTGGAAGAATACCGAGCCGATCAAAGAAGGCGATAGATTCGTCAGAATGCGTAATTCAAGCACGCAGCAGATTCTCAAAGACGAGGAATGCTTCGAGATAATCCGCAAGAGGCTTCACAGGGACTCCATGGAGGATTTCTCGTTGATCACCTATGAGGTTATACCTATAGACGAGGTGAACGGCTTTATGGGCCAGTACTTTACCTTGAAGGCGACTGTGGCTTCACCTCAGTCGCCATTGGAGACTAAGAGCATCAAATTCTTCACGAAACTGCCACCCCCGGCGACTAGTCCTCAGTATGATTTTATGCAGCAGTATGGCAGCTTCAGGAAAGAGGTCGCTCTGTACACCACCGTCTTCCCAGAGGTGCTGAATGGTTTGGATAAAAGGTACATCCCCGAGTGCTTCCTCGGGCTAGAGGATGACGTGATCGTCTTGGAAGACATGGCTCATAATGGCTACGAGATGCCTAATAAGTTCAAGCCGTTTGACTTTCAGCATTGCAAGATCCTCATGAAGACTCTCGCGAGGTTCCACGCGAAGTCTCTCGTTTTCGAAGAGCTGTATAAGAAGAGTCTGCATGACGAGTTCCCTCACTGCCTGCAGGAGACACTCTGGCCTCTGAAAGATGGCCGTGCTAAGGCTATGTTCGACGCTGCTGTAAAGGGCATCGTTTCGTTGATAGACTTGATGCCGGACTTGGACGAGGATCAGAGGAAGACGTTTACTACGAAGGTTATCGACTTGTGCGTCGATCATGCGAACAAGTTGCTGCCGTCCAAGAGACACAAGAATGTGTTATGCCACGGAGACTTATGGGCGAATAACATCTTGTTTAAGTATGGCGCGGATCAGAAGCCTGTCGAGTGTTGCCTCATCGATTTCCAACTTGCCAGGTAATTGACAAATATGTCGATGAAAAGTAATTTACTGATTTTCAATGCATTTGTCGAAGGATCGATCAAAGCGTGACAGGTGTCAATAGGGTAATCCTATGGGTTTAACACTAGAACTATCGACCCAGTCAAAATGACTGGTTCCAGAATTTTCCTTTTTGCAATCACCGAACAGATACACCTGCTTTAAGAATAAAATTGGTATTAACTCGTATTAAGAAAGAACTGTAATCGATATATTCACTCGTATTCATCGTACTGCTGTAATTACTATAATCTGTGCACCTTATAGTTAGGTACCCATTAAATATCGGTAGTTCTAGTGTTAATGAATATTTTTATACTTGAGATTTAGGTTAGGTTGTGAAGTTTATTTAAATTTATTTTAGGCTTTTATTTATGTTTTTGCACTACGATATATTAATATATTAAATAATTTGTGTTGATAATATATATTTTAATATGTTTATTTATATTTTTATAATGGGTTTATTATGCTTAAATTAATTAGTTGTATAATTTTAAAAATGGTCAAGTAGAAATTGAAGCTTTCTAATCGGACATTTAAATTTGTAAAAATACAGTTAGTCGAATCAGAGAAAAATAAAAAAGACTTTAAGTTATTACGAAAAATTATAATTTTATAATTGGCGAAATTTTATTGCAATATTTTTACATTTTAGAGATTTTGAAAGTTAAACGTTTTATTATTATTCAATATTATATGAAAAGAAGAGAAATTATTATTTGTAATGGTTACAAGTAACATTGCGAAAGTTATTGCGAATTACATGCTTATATATCTTACCATATCTTACACTTGATAACAGAGCAATAGTTAAAAGTGAAATAAACAGGTACAGTACGACTCGCGTACATGGCCACGAATCTACCTGCATATATGGCAACGAGAGATCCCCACCATTTCCGAGAATTGCCTACTCAAGGCTAGGCTCGATGTTATCTGCACTCCATATACAGTAGACCGTAGCTCAACCAGTATCGAATTATCGAAACCGGAAAAATTAAATTCTTTATCATTTTTATTTCGTCATTAGAAAATACTAGTCAGATAGCTAAGATTCTCACGATCACGATACTACCAAGCGTGGCTATATTTGAATTAATTTTCATTGAAACATATCGAGCCTCCTACACTCGCTCAAACTCCACTCTTGCGTTTTTCCCATTTTTCACGAGTAAATATATGGCCTCCGGATATATGGCCACGAGAGGCCTTCAATTGTTGGCCATATACGCGGACGGTATTTAATCATGCCAGATTAATTATATATTGATTTTAATAATTGAAAAGGTTTCTGAAAAAATGGCCATAAGCCAAAATGGTGAATCGAATAAGAACGTAACGCGAATAAATAAATAATACATTTTATGTTATTTTAGTGAAATAAAACAAACGTAATACCATAAAACAATATACATCAATCGTACAGGAAATCGAAGAATAGAGTCCTCTTATATAACACTTAACACTTTGCACTGCGATTTAATTACGAAAAAGTATGCATTGAAGTGGTATTTAATTTTGGTTAATCACTGTACACTTGTCCCATCAAAGATAAAGTTAAATAAAAGCTTTAGAAATTTTTGGAATCATTGTGCACGTTAGAACGCGCGAAATGTAATTACGGTCGCGCGATTAGCGTAGCTTACAATCGTGAGATTGTCGAAGGACTCGCGACGAGTCAGACTCGTGATTTTAGTGCAAAGGCTTGACGTATCGAAGATTCCCAACAGACCAGATTCTTAACAAAACCATCTCCATTACAGATACAATCCACCAGCACACGACATTCTCTGCTTCCTCCAATTCACGACAACCCGACAGCTACGAGACGAGCACAGCGAAGAACTGTTCGAGATCTACCACGAATCGATGACTGAGGCTCTACACGAAGCTGGCCTAGACATCTCCACGGTCTTCCCCTGGAACGACTTCCTCGAATCCATCAAAGACCTACGACTCATGTGTATCATGCATGGAGTATTGAACATACCTATTATGTTAATAGAATCTAGCGCTGCCAGCAAGTACTTCTCTAACGAGCCAGAGCTCCTCGAGAACATCCTCTACGTGGACAGGACATCTCTGCTCTGCGAACAAATGAAGGACGTACCCGAATACAGGGACAGGATGATGGATGCCCTGCTGGAATTATACGACCACGTAGCTGGTTAACGAAACGAATTCGATTGGATCGAATCGATGCATCGGACATTAGGAATCCTTTTCACTGTAGGTATCAGAGACGCAACGCACAGAGACTAGTCGCTAACTTGGAAAGTAGGCGGCGAGCACAGATAACCACCGAGTGAAAAATTGATACTGTATTGATCACATGTATTGGTCAATTGGTACATCACCCAACAGTGCATCACCATTCGAGAAAAATCCTATCGACACGTGTCATCCTATTGTTCTCGACGCTTTAGCAAAACAAAATGGCGGTTTCTCCGCACAGCTTTACCTTGGAATTAGCTTCATTTATCACAGTCTTTCATGAGATTCTATTTATAGTCATACGAGGAACATTAGACGAGTTGTTTGTTAATCTAATAGTACTTACTCTATCTTATGAGGGTAGATAGACAGACTAGGTGTCTGCGATTAGGATGTTTCATGAATTTTCGCTGATGCTCGTCGTGAAGGAATCATGGATTATTTTTAATTGTAAATTTGTAAAATGGTCTTTGTAAAATTGGTCTTTGAGGATAATTAATAGTTTACAGATTTAATAAGTAGATTATAGGTAACGAATTATTCATTGTTAAGTAAAAATAGCTCGAGCCAAAGATGTTTGGTGGAGGGATGAATTTTGGGTTGTAAGTATTATGACTGTAAGATTAGTTGATAAGAAGAGTTATTTCATTGTTACTAAAATAAATAAAGTATGTTGACACTAAGTTTCTGTGTTTCATTTTTCCATCTATTGGATTACACATTTGTTTATAATAAAGTGTTCAGAATATAATTAAGTCTAAGAAATTCGCAATTTCGCATCGAATTTATTTTGCACTTCCAGTTTGCTTACTTTTGCAGAACATTGCAAATGATCACTATGTGGCTCGATTATGCCACTCGTCCTCGCGAAGCTTAATAACGTCGCAATTTTTCCATTTCCAATTAATTCTCGATTTTTCAGCTACAATTATTTTCTACCGATGTCTGTCTTTTTCCACGTGAATCGTGTAAGGTAAAATTCACGGCCCACAGCACGATGGTATAAAGAAACTCCAAAACTTACTTTTATGTATATAATTATTTATATCATCAATTATAATGAATATATAGTTATGTACAATATTTAATCTCATTCTTTAACAATAACATCAACAACATGATTAAACAACGTTCCTCATTGGTACACAAATTGTAAATGTACAGATAAAAAAGCATTAGATGAGGTCAATGAGGCATCGAAGGTGGCGTACGCTCAGCGCGCCTTAATTTTTTTTTCTCTTTATACATTTTATAATTCCCATATATATTTCGAATCATTTTTTGGTATTTTGTTCGATCTCTTTTCCTCTTCTTTTATTTTTATTTCCTTATTTCTTTTTTTGTTCTTTTTTTTAAATATTTTTGTAGGTTCTTTTAACGTTAATTATATATATATACTTCGTTTAGATACACACGTCTCACATACACACAAATGCGCCACGTGTATCCGTGCGACGCACGAAAATACGATTACGGGTGATGATATCGATTGAATCGGTGCATGATTTAATTATTAAAGAGAGTGCATGAATAATTTGTATCTCGGGAGCAGCCAGGCACGAATTTCTCTTTGAGAGAGAGAAAGATGTCGATAGGTAGAGGGGAATTAGGGAGAAAGAGAGGGAGAGAGATAGAACGAGTGAAATAATTATATAGAAAGAATACTATACATATATATAGAAATAAAGAATAATTATATAATTATATAGAAATAATCGTCTATTTTCTTACCACTGTATAACGGGTAAGAGGTCAAACTAAAAATATTAATAGTTATATAATCGACAAAGAAAGAGAAAAATGAAAAATATCGAAATTAAAAGGACAGTTTATCCTTATTTCACGAAATTAAAATTCTACTGCCTGGCTTGACCCACGCGACGCAAATCTCGACCAATCATCTAAAACTCTACACAAGGCTCCGACAAATTTTCATTTTTTTTTTTTTTTAATCACTTAACGAACGATTTCCACAAAATCTAACGCGCAAACTTTTGTTTCATATATAATCGCATCAAGGCGAGGCAGGGTCACCGAGTAGTCCTCCATCTTGATTACGCGATTCTAAAAGCCGCTAACTCGTCAAACAATTTATATGAAAATTGACTGATGTGAACAAACTTTTCTTCAAAAACAAGATCGTTCGATTACGAATTGTAATTTCCTTGTTTATTTTATAAATTATGTAACCCGTCCTTAAAATACTTCTGTTCGCTCCTCGAGAAATCGAATTTAACGAAATCAATAAACGATAATCGGAAAAAGTTTGATATTCGATCTTCGATCGTTTCTCGCGCGAGATCGTCATAGCAGAAACGTCGATGAAAGGAGAGAGAAAGAGAGTTTGTGTTTATAACCTAGAATACTTTCTGTCATGGTTTTCGTTAGTAAAAGATTCCTCGAAGTCTGACACAAACAGATGTCGATTAATAAGAACAGAAACAGAAAGAGAATGCAGGATAGCACTGTCCATTTAACGGTGTATACACCACACAAGTGAGTTTTTGTTATTTCTGAACTGGAAACACGACG